TATACATAGCAAGTGCCCAATTGTTCACATTTTCTAAGCAACTACAACATGGTGGCAAATGAATTATAACAGATATTTTGTGAGAATTGATGCCTATCAAAATTGTTTCTGGAGTCCAAGGTGGCCCATCTTCCCCAGAAGTCAGAGTTTATAGGGCCCAACACCCTCATTAACCAAAGGAGGTTCTGAGGACCCAACATGCCAATGCAGGGAATGGAGCCCAGTGTTGGCTCTACTTCTCCAAGACATCCACAGTGACTCTTAGTCACCTCTCCTTCTTTGAATTCCACCTCTAGCCAGAGTTTGGGCCATAACACAAAACACTTAATTGTATTCTCCACATAAAAACTTTAATTCAAGAAAACAAACATATTAATAAGTTATTTCCCACCAAAAGAAACCTGAAATAATAAATGTCATAACAGAATAAGGGAAAAAGAAGATGACAAAGAACACTCTCTCTAACTAGGAAAAAAGCAAGAACAGTGCTTTTTAAATGTTTCTCCTAAGACTACGCCATAAAAGTTTTTATAATTAATTTCAGATTCCTCTAACCTTCTACTGGAATTTATCCTTTAATAATTTCTCTAATATAATTCCATTTTTTATATCTATTTGCATCTAAGAACCAAAAGTAAAACACAGAGAAATATTACTTGTAGTAACTAAGCAATGTTTAAAATGAAAATTAGGCATGTAGCTAAACTAAGAAAAAGCATAAACAAATGTAACAAACAACATACTTAATCTTTCTAACTCTTAACCCTTTTTTGGCAAATATAACACATTGTTGAATACTGTGCTGAGTACACTCCTTTATGGACCGATGCTATTGTCTCAAAACAGCAATTTCTCCAAATGATAAAGCACCAAAGTAAATTTCATTAAAAGAACTCACATTCACAGTTTGGAAAAATTCCTTATGACAAGATTTTACATTGAAGTAAAAATGTAAACTTCTGAATGAAAACCATTTGCGTTCGTTAAGGCACATCTGGACATCTCCAGGCATTCATATTTATAACTATATAATTATTAATTTCAGTAATAAGGGATTTCTAAAAACACAGTCTGTCCCTGAACACAATCTGCTGGGTGGGTTGGATAACTAGAACGTGGGAGAAGCAAGGTAGTACTCACTGTCACCCTAGAGATTACCCAGACAAATCTGTTCCTGTAATGAACAGTACAGAATTCACAGTTGAAAGAAGTCAATAGATGTATACTCCTCATTTTCTAGACACCACATTGACTCAGGCCATCTTTCTCTACAACTGCACCTACATTTGAAATTACTCTAGCATGTCTAACACCAGCCTCATATTTAACACACAAGTCCCAAAAGAAAAAGGGGAATTTTCTAAGTGGGAAACTAAGTAGAAATCTTACAGGAGATCCCCTACAAAAGGGGATCTCCACTCAACCCAAATAGCCATTAAAGACTATAGATGCAATTACAGTCAAGCAAGATCAAGAATAGCCTTCCTTTCTTAGGTTAGAAAATAAAGCTTTTTGAAGAGCCTCAATTACAGTTTAAAAAATGCTTGATTTAGTTACTCAGAGGATTAAAACTTAGTCATAACTCTACTATAAACTTGGAAATTTAACATTACAACAATTAAGCAAATATTCTCTATTAGTGTAACCAATTCTTGACCACTTGATATTGAAGTTTATTTACTAAAATTATTTTTCAAAGACTAACTCAGATGTAACACTGTATTGTTTTTCCTTTATCATATCAGACTTTCACTTGGATTAATATCTAAAAGCTAGAAGCAAGGTAATTAATTTTATATGACAAAATATGAAACATAATGACTATGACAGGCATTATGGCATTTTCATATGTTTATATTTTTAATACTTTGCAAAAAATCTTAGAACTTCCCTAGTAACTCCTGAGTTGTAGATTTTATTTTCTCCTTGAAGGTGGAAACAAGTAGTTTCTAAACGTAAATTCAAAATAAAACTATACAACATAATTTTTGAACTGACAACTAGACTTGATTTAGAGAAAGCAAACATATTTTTACTTCTATCATGATTCTTTTGAATTTCTTATGAGATTGAGCATGAAAATGTATAATGGTACAATATTCTTAATGTTATAAACTTTTTCTCTACTGTACAGAAATATATCTTATAATTACATATCACTTTACAGGATTTCAAAATATTTTCACATATATTATCTTCTTTGATATAGAAAAAGCACAAAATATTAGAAATGTACTAGACTAATCAAGCGATATAACATCTATTTGCCATGAAATGAAAGTTTGTATTTTATCAATAGCCAATATTTAGTATCCTTGCACTCCATGATACAATAATAAGGACTATATATTTGCAAAGATTCAATAATGTTTCTAGCTATTTGGTCATGCTTCACTGCATTTTTTAGAACAGCTTCTCGGTAAACTTCTGCAAGCATATGTTAGTTTTTAAAAATATAAAACACAGGAGTCAAGCCCAGGGAACTGTTTCATATATAAGACACACATAAATACATATCTATAGATCTTATTTTAAAAAACTATTAAATGTACAAAGTATTCTTAATAGAAAAAAAATTCTAAACACTCAATTTTTATCTGCAAAAGGAATGACAATCCTCTTGTTCTCTACTGAATGATTCTCTCACAAGTTATTTATAGATTAAATTTAGGAAACTGTTAACATGTGAATACTGTTAACATGTGAATATGCATTTTAAAAACACCATAGTGGAAAAAGGCCACTATTTAAAATGGAAGCCAGGCAGTTTTCCCCTTGAGACTAAATATTTTCGAATTAAATAGTATAATATAATCAAAGCCCCTAATTAAGAATAATAGTCTAACAGTTAAATTGTTAAATGAAATAGGAAATGTTTTTACTTCTAAAGACTCCAACATATTACAATTTCTAAGTAATTCAGATTCATTTATTTTAGTATCTGGTAACTGTTTATTAATATTTTAATTTCTGGTCACAAATGTTTAATATTATGCATTTAGGAAGTGGTCGGAATACCTTACTAGGTAGGAAAAATTGGTAAAATATTTTGAATTAAAATAATTGTATTCCTACAACTCAGCCTAATTTGACAATCTACTGTCATTCACCCAGTAAAACTGTTTATTGAGCTCTATGGAGACATTGGTAGAACTAGCACCACATAAGAGGGTCCATTTATTTCTTGCATGTAAAATAGAAACTGAAATGTAAAATCAGATTATTTCCTAAAATCCTAATACTCAACTTCATGGAACAGTACAAAGCAAAATTTGGCATATTATGGGAACTAAAAATGAGAAAATGTTCTACATGATACTTATTGGAATATGATATACAACATAAATGCTACTAAGATTCACATAAAAATTAGGGTTGCACAACTGAGATGTTTTGTGTAAACAAAAGCAATAAAATCTATTTCTAAATGCATACTATTGGCATGATAATTTTCTAGAAATCCACCGCCGCAAATGTAGATCAAAACAGGCAACAAAAGATGGTAAGTGATATGAAGCAGGACATATTAAAAATTCTCTGGGGGTGTTAAAGTGAATAGAACTTTTCTTAAAGGCCTAAGAGAATCAAAAAAGTCAATTCCTTTCTAAATGAAATAAGTGAAAATGTTTTATCTGTTCATTGCTTTAACTATTATTTATACTTATGCTTTGAAGTTCTCATCACAATATTTCTGATTGTTTTCTGACTTGTAATGATTAATAATAATAATACAGGAAATAAAATTATTTGTTCTTAACCAGTGTTATACAATATATTAAGTGCTTATTGGAACTGAATATATGTAATTTCAATTTTTTTCTCAGTTTCAAAGTTTGACAATTTATTGATATATCAAACTATGTATATTTTTAAAAACACATAATCGTGAACTAAACAACACTATTCATTTCATAATCCACATAATACTGAGATCTTCATGGTTTTAGGGACTACTGCCTTGTTAACAGTACCAGGGGCATGCCTTTTAAAAATGAATAATATCCAATCTTATTTTTTAATTCTTCAATCATTTGCATTCAAAATCAATCACCAAATTTATATGGAACAGCCATAGAAAGCAAAAGTTCTTTTCATGGACTTTTCCATCAAAATTTGTTTTTAAGCACTGAATCCTGAAAAGATTTCCTTATTAATTTAAACAAAGCAAATTTGTGAAATCATACATTTAAAAGTCTCCCTCTGTTCCATTTAGATTTTAACATAGGAAATCATCCTAATGTATACAGTTGGCATCTGTTGGGGACTGGTTTTAGGAAACCCCGCTCATGGATACCAAATTCCAAGGATGCTCAAATCCCTTATGTAGTGTAGTATTTGCATATGACCTATGCACATCCTTCTGTATTCTTTCAATCATCTCTAGATTTCTTATACCTAAAACATACAATGTAAATGCTATGTAAATAGTCATTATACTGTATTGTTTAGGGAACAATGACAAGAAAAAGTCTGTACATGTTCAGTACAGATGCAACCATCCGTTTGTTTTTTCTAATATTTTTTATCTGTGGTTGGTTGAATCCATAGATATAGAACCCACGGATATGGAGAGCCAACTTCACTAGAAGTGCACATGCTAGCTGAAAAAGAGGGCAGCTGAAGGCTGAGCCTGGAGAGAGGGGAAGAAGGAAAGAGCAGAACAGATGAGTTGGGGAGGTCTGAGCTCCCCAAGGGCACCCATTTCACTTAACAGAATCTAAAAAGGAAACACACCGAGGTACTGAAATCAAAGAATCCAAATTACTTTCTGAACATACTTGAAAAGACCAAACTCTTTCAGCTTAAAAAAATTAATTCATAAATCAGATAAAGGCGTGGCAATCCAATGAAATTATCCTCTTGATTGTCTTCATGTAGACTATAATCTCATGAAAGAACATACTTGATTATGTCAAACATCACATGATTACTTCTAGATAGATATTTTGGAAATAATTTAAAAGTAATTATAGATAGAATTTGAAAACTCACATCCTAAAAGCATTGCAGAATACATTCATTTATTGGGTCTTATCTTAAAACTTCTTATTAAATATTCAGTTCATTGTCATCCAAAATAAAAAACAAACAACAAAATGCTTACAACAGAAATCACAAACAGATGGCTAAACTTTGAAATGCGACTTCACCTCTGTTCTTTAGGATACATTATACAGCGTTTTTATTTTCCTCCCTTACCTAAACTGGCTTGTGGGTTTTCTGATAATTCACTGCAATGGTATAACATCGTGGCAACTAGTACTTCCAGGATCTTCACAGTCTCCGTTGGGATTTTCACTTTCTTCTTCTTTTTCAGAAGGGGATGCACTCTCTTTTTTTTCTGTGGGATCAGTAACTGTTTGTTCGGGTTGAGAATCCACATTTTCGGCGGCATCGCTGTCCTTCTGTGTGTTTCTCAGCTTGGCATCGCCATTGCTGGGCTCTGGGTCGGGCCTGTCTGTCTCTTCCCCAGGCTCTTTTGGTGCCACTTTTTTTTCTTCAGCTGCTTTGCTATTTAAATGAACAGCTGAGGAGGAATTTTTGGAGTCCTTGGATTTTTTGTGCATAGAAGTCTGACTGCTATGACTGGAGGCAACAGGGGCAGGCATTTTCTGGGCTTTGCTTCCCTCTGACTGTTCTTTTCTCGGCGGCCCCCAGATAAAATTCTCTGAAGGCGTGTAATGTTTCTGGGCGAACCGCAGGAGCTTTCTCCTTTCCCTTCTGTCTCTGATTGTATAAACAAAATACTCCAGAGCACTCTGCTTAATATTGGGAATAGTATTTTCCACGAGTGCCTCGTGAAGAATAAATTTTACAAGAGGAGATTTAAAACTTTCATATCCAAGCTCACCAAGGCTTTTAAGAATACGGGTGATTCTTAAATAGTTGTGCTGGGACCTGGAAGAGAGGATTGAATAAAGTGAGGGGGAAATAAAGGTAGAAAAAAAAAATAATAAAGTGCAGGGGAAAATAAAGGTAGAAAAAAGCAGGAGCATGAAAACCACTGGAAAAACATTTTTTAAGGAACTATAAGCCATGGAAATATGCCTTGTAATGACTTTTTAAAAACTCAAATTAGACACCATTAAAAAGAATAAATCAGAAGGTATTAAACCCTTAGGCCTCAATGTCAACCTATGTGAAACTCAAATATATAAAATAACCCCCCCTTGTTTGTTTAGTTCTTCATAGCAGAAAAATATTTGGATTTAAATTTATTACCACTGTTGTTGAATTGTTTGTTCATTAAATACACTGAGGACAAATGATCTAACTGAGCACTTATTTGCAACAACACTAATGTATTATACTCATCATAGGTAACCACTGTGAACATAAACACACTAGCTAACTGCTGAATGGTATAATTTATAGTGTCAGCTGATCACCAAAATCCACCCTATAAGCCAATTCACAGGGACAGCAGCAAAAACCACTCTACTCTGCTAGAATGATTCTGACAAAGAATTCAAACCTGACTTATTTAGCAGAGCGTAGTTTAACAATTATGAGTATGGGCAGACCTCAGTTCATGCCCTGGTCTGTCACAGAGCAGCCAAGTCAAATTAGGATATCTCTCTAAGTCTCAGTATCCTTGTCTATACAATGCGAAACATGGCCCACAACTTCCTGGACTATTGTAATAATCAAATGAGATGACATACACACAGGGTAAGTAGAAGTCAATAAATACTAGATACTATTTAAAACATTATCATTATTTAAAGATTTTATATTAAGGACCATCATATTTGTACCTTTCCCAATTTAAAACCTCATTCTCTTTCATCCCTGATCATTGTCTCCTCTTCTTTCTCTATAAGATAACTTTAAATCTTATTGTTAATGGCCTTGATTCAAAAGATGTATTTTCCCCAGATGGCACTAACATCTTTTCTCTCTTTTTCTGAAAACTAAGGCCATAATCAGATGAATGCTTTCCAAATCTGTTTTGTCACAATTCATAATCTATCTTCCCACCCTCACTCAGCTCAGCTCTTGCCTTATTATACATGCCTGGCTAAATTCTAAAGGAATTTTCAGTTATATATATATTAATTATGAGTGTCATCAACAGTCCAGGTATTTATTTACCCAATATTGCCACACAACCATGACCATCATTTATTTCTAACCTGCTAAAACCTTTCTATACCTCAGACATTGAATTTTATACAAGCATTGCATATACCTGCTCTAGCTTCCAAAAGTGCTTAGAGTTTTTAACTTAGGAACAACTAGCAAATTATTTGGTAAGGGTAGAGAAAGATGTTGATGAATTATTTAAGGGATGGAAGAGGATGGTTCCATAATGAGAAAGTTTGTTTGGATAAAACAAAAACCTTAATGATTCAGGCTAAAGAAACAAGGAAAAGACAAGCCTGACAGTTTTTATCCTCTCCATCTTTCTGGATGTTTATCAAAAGAGTATCATCTTAACATCCAACTCTTTGAAGCCCGAAGAATAAAATGTAGCACAGATATGTTTCGGTTTTATAAATCTGTATTTTTTAATAGTTAGGCCGTAATCGTCTTTTGAGACAACACAAATTTAGGTAAAGTTAAGACAATGTACCATTAACAGGAGGACTGACTTAGTTGTTACATTCATATAGAGTTTGTACACTCTAAAAACTTAGTGACAGTGCTCTTGTGCAACATCTGTTTTATATTGAAGAAAGATGTATGGAAAGGTAGAAGAATGTTTTCAAAAAAAGAAGAGCTATACGGCAAAACAAAATTTACTCTATTTGCAACCAGCTCAATTTCACATAACCAATCTAAGACAAAAGATCAAGTTAAATTTTTGTATATATTTATCTGTATCTACATTCCCCAATTAAACACATTTGCATAACAATATAAAGGGACAAAAACTTGGGTTGAAGAAAATGATGACCAGGACTATGGAACAAAACTATAGAATAAAGCAATTGGTGTTTCAGTATGATTTGAAATGAAAGTCACAACTAAAGACTAAATAGAAGAGAGCGGTGTGGCTAAAACCCTTCTAGTGTTAGAAGTGTCTTGAGGTTGCACAGCAGGTAAAAGAAAGAAGCTGAGACTCTGGACAGAATTAAGGGCAGTAAATAACGTTGAAACTGTCAGGACACCTAGCTAGGTAAGGGCACACAAAAGTCAAGAACCAGGAGACACAAAATAAAAGTTAAAAGATATTCCAGGGTCTAAAATATGGCTCAGTAATCCAAGTTGATTACAAATAAAATTAGAAATGCATCTTAGTAGTTGTTACACACATTGGTACTCTCATGTTTGAAAATATTTCACCTCTTTTAGTCCTGGTCACTTGTTCATTCAACGTTATTTCATCTCACTTTGACTCAATATTTTTCTTCTGCCTAGCTACTATAAATATATTGAGTTCCCTGCCTACTCTAAAAAACTCATGATGCCATATGCATTAAAACACAAATAAGTTATGACATTTAAGAATAAATCAGAAAAGATACCAACTGAAGAAGAAAATGGAATATACATTTTCATTGAATCCCCTATAATTTGTTCGAATCTAGTCAATAAAAATTTTTGACAACAAAACAGGGCAGTTAATTCACAGCTAGATAAGCTCTATGCAGTATACATGGAAAGGAAAGAGAGAATCAATAGGTGGTGGAAAGGAAGGGAGCTGGATGGAGCAGAGGACTGAGAAGTGATTATTAGTTCAGGCTCCCTGCCCCTGACTCGAAATCAATTAATTAAAACCTTCAAAAAGGGCTCTATTTCCACCTATAAATCAGAAGATCTGATGATAAAACCCCATGGAGGATTTAAGCTGACAACCATATTTAGTTCATCATTTACTCATTCAACAAAAATTTACTGTACTAAGCAGGCTTGCTATTCCAACCAAAAATAACAAGTTGGGGAGGAAGAGTCTCTAAAATGATAGCTGTGAGTGAATGAAAGATAAGGTATTATTAAATCCTCTCCAGCGATTTACGTTTACCATTGCCATAGTTCATGTCAATAGGCTTCCTGCATACAGCTTTCTTTGACAGGGTGAATAGTGCTTAGAAACTTTGCTCAGAGATAACTACCTGCATTGCTTAGGTAGAGTCATATATATTTATGTGTTGAATGCCTTATGTAAATCAAATTCAACTTGAGTAATGAGTTAATGGGTCTTGTAGTCAGGAACATAAAGCCTTATGCCCATATCTTTAGTGTTTTAGTACAAGCTACCATTTTAATATTGTTGATTATAACTAATAAAGTAAGAGGAAGACTTAACATTCATGTTTACACTCATTTTACCAAAGTAAGACAAAAGTTCTAGAAAGACACACACAAAAAACGAGTTAACAGACGCACAAAACTCATATTATTTTGGCCAAAGAGAAACTGCTTAGGTTAGTTTTAATTTTCTATTCTCTTAGTACCAGCCCAGTTTAGCTAATTATAAGGTGCTTAAAAAGTGCTTTAAAGCTGTTGGTTTTATAGTCCAGCACTCGCAAGTCACCCTATAATTTAAAATGAAACAAAAGCCAGTTTTGCTCATGAAGATAATATTAAGAAAAATAAACTTCAGGTATAACTATTAATGAAAGTTATAAATAGTCAAACAAAAGAATATAACAAAACAATTTCAAATAAACTATGTTAAATTTTTCCTCATAGGTTTAGGGACTTATTAAGCAAAAACAGGGTTTTGATTTTTACCTAAATAGTGAAGATAACTATAATTTTCTCTCTGCTGCAATAAAAACTACCAGGCACATATCATCCTGATAAAATGACTTTTATATGTCATAGGCTTAATTCATGAATTTTTGAATTCATGAAGGCACCAGGCTTGAGAATGTTAGAAACAGACTGTATCCCAAGAATTTTACAGCCTCGCAGAGGGATACACAAAACTGTCTACAAGCAACAACCATAGATTCCAAGAAACGTGGCACAAAGAGAGAAAGAGGCCACATTTGGCTGTGGATAGAAGGGAGACTTCAGGGAGAAACAGCTCTGAAGCTGAATAGCCATGTTTTTACCTGGAATTTCATCCTTTTTTGTTGTTTTGTTTTACTTTAGAATACAGAGCAGGGAATAAAATGCATTTCACACTGGCTTTTGAATCCAAATTCCAGAGCCCATCTACTGGTTGTTCTTTTTTTTCTTTTTTCTTTTTTTTTATTTGAGACAGAGTCTCGCTTTGTTGCCCAGGCTAGAGTGAGTGCCGTGGCATCAGCCTAGCTCACAGCAACCTCAAACTCCTGGGCTCAGGCAATCCTACTGCCTCAGCCTCCCGAGTAGCTGGGACTACAGGCATGTGCCACCATGCCCGGCTAATTTTTTCTATATATATGTTAGTTGGCCAATTAATTTCTTTCTATTTATATAGTAGAGATGGGGTCTCGCTCTTGCTCAGGCTGGTTTCAAACTCCTGACCTCAAGCAATCCGCCCGCCTCGGCCTCCCAGAGTGCTAGGATTACAGGCATGAGCCACCTCGCCCGGCCTTACTAGTTGTTCTTGTGTTCCATGGAGAACTCCAACCAAGAGAAAATACCATGCTGACCTCTGATTTGTCACAAGGGCTTTACTTACTCATTTAGATGCTGAAATCTTTCCTGCCAGTTAACAGCCCGAGCAACATTTCCAGTTTTATCAGTCAGTTTTATTCCAAAAAATTCTAACATCATTTTATAAGCTAGGAGAAATCTTCTAATTGCTTCTTTTGTTTTTTTGAATTCCTAATATAAAAAAGAAAAAAGTCAGCTGAAATGATTCAGTAGCTACCGACAGTAAAACAACAATATCATATGCCCCCTTCATATAAAAATGAAATAAGCCTGTATTACCTCAATTTCATATGTAGTTAGTTCTTTAGCATAGAAGTTCAAGCCTTGTTCTCTCAGGGGAAAAAGCCTGTTTTTAAAAAATAAAATTTTTCTATTAATATGGTCTAGAAAACATATATGATTATATGGGACATGACTCAAGATAGATAATACGTAACTGACCATTGAATGTAAGTGTGGTTGTGCTCCAGTTTTTCATAGTCTCCTTTCCATTTATTTAGAACTTCTTCAATATAAACACCTAAATAGTAAAATTTAGAAAATTAACCAGACATTTAAAACATTGTGAAGGCATTTTAAGATTTGGACCACCTGAGTTTTATGTTAAAACTTTCTAAAATGTAATAATAGCAAACAAAAATAATGCTTTTTAAAGATGAATATCCTATGCCATATACTCAGTTGGGTAATAAGCCTAATATTTAAAAAATAATAATTCATGGCACCTCAGATCACAGAAAGTTCTATTGGGCAATGTACTCTAACGCAGAGGCTGGCAAACTATGGCCTGCCCGCTGTTTTGTAAATAAAGTTTTATTGGAACATAGCTACGTACATTCATTTATGGACTGTCTATAGCTGCATTTGCACCACAACTGCAATACAGACCCACTGTACTACAAAGCCTAAAATATTTACTATCTGCCCCCATACAGAAAGAACTGCCAGCCCCTGCCCTAGAGGGTTATGTGGTTTTTTAGATACTAGATAGGATCAAAATGAAAGGTATCCCAGAGAAAATGAAAGAAAGAAAATTAGGGAGGGAGGAAAAGAAATGAGGAGAAAAACAAAGACAGGGGGAAGGAAAAGGAGGATAGAAAAATGAAAAAAAGTTGTAGAGTGACTACCAAATGGTGGGCCCATATTATACACAGAGTATAATACCCAGCTTCATCTTCACAGAATTCTCCCAGTATTATGATCTCCATTTTATTAATGAGGAAATTGGGTGATTTGTTCAAAGTCATACACTAATAAAAAGGTAAATCTCAAAGGAAAATAGAAGTCTTTCTGGTTCCAAAAAGTAAGCTCTTTTCACCACGTCTCATTGTTTCCTATGAGGACTCACTATAACAAAATGCTCCAGATTGTTAAGTCTGTTAAGAATCCTCCTGAACTGAGTATGTGGCTAGTCAATCTTATAGAAAAAAAACAACAACAACATACTCTCTCTCTAAACATAACTCATTTCATTCTCACTTCCTCCAGGTATCACCAGTTTATAGTAGAGGCCCACTCTTGGAAGATTTGGTAAAAAGTTATTTTGAATCATACTGTTGGCTTTATTAGCATATTAAAACCATTTAGCTCTGTAATTTTCCATTTAATTTCCCTTCCAACTCCCCCTCCTCCTACTTGATAAGTAAAATATGCCACTGCAAGGTTATGCTTTCTGGCCAGTGTTTGAGTTTGTATCTGTGTCCATGTGCACAAGTATATAGTGGGAAGAAAGTGAGTTGATATAATTTATATAATAAAACAGAATAACATTTTATGTGACCTTATTAGCTAAAACTTCTGGTCCTCACCAAGCATATAAGACTTCAAAATACATTTTGTGATAAAGATTACAAAAAATTTAATATATTGCTTGAAATTACTATTTTAAATTAATATATCAAAAATAAATTCACTATTAGAAACACAGAAACAGTTAAATATCATCATAGTTTTAGGTTCAACACTTTTAATATTGAAGTCATTCTTTTAGGTAAATTTTTTTTCTTTTTTTATTTTGGCATATTATGGGGGTACAAATTTTAAGGTTTCAAAAAATGCCCTTTCCCCTCCTCCCCCTACAAGTCTGAGTTTCCAGTGTGACCATCCCCCAGATGGTGCACATCTCACTCATTATGTATGCATATACTCGCCCCTCACCTCCCTCCCACCTGCCCAATACCCAATTACTGTAGTACCTATGTGTCCATTTAGGTGCTGCTCAGTTAATATCTTTTAGGTAAGTTTTATGAAATTCAAATTAGAGTTAAATTAACAATTTATTGGTGCATTTCTTCAAAAGGTTTTCTGACCCCAAGTCCTCACAGAACTATAATAATAATATAATTAATATTTTTCTATTGGTAAATGAAGCAGTGCATTTTTCTCATTGATAAATAACAATAGTGCATTTTTATCCAGAGGTTTCCCTCCAAATCAGAGCAGAGTTTTGGCTTTTGGGGCACCACAAAGTTAAAGACAGGTGGATCTGGCCATTTTAGTAAAGTTCCTAAGTCTTAATTCCCGACTGGTAAGTCTCTCAATGTGCAGTATGAGGACTCCCTCGCCCCAATACTCGAGCCAGCCTTCAGATCTCTTTCCTCCAGTTAGTTCACCAAAGAGTGTGAGGTCCTGCCGCTTTGAAAGCCTTGCTATCCATCATCTTCATTCCCTGACTCGCATTGTTGGGGAACTGGCTCCATTTCCACTGAGGGGAAAGAGCAGGAGCCAGGGCCATCTGATCACTTCACACAGATAGGGGCTCTAAGGAGAGAAGCAGGCTGGTTTGACCTGGATAAAATTGGGATTTCCACCATGAACCACAGCATGATGCCTCAATGAAATACACAATGTTGTGGTCATATGAGCATAGCAGCTGCATCCACTCACTATGGGTTTGGAAAAGAACCTATGAGGGCAATTGTTTAGTTGTGAGGAAGACACGTTTATTTAGCAGAGTTGGATGGAGAGCTACTGTATCTGCTGTTCCTTTCTCAGGATACTGGAACACTGAACTGGGACTGCTGTGGCTTCCTGACCCCTGAATCTGAAAATGGACAGGAAAGATCATTCTAAACACAAACAGCACTTTCAATCATATCCCAAATAATTCTCAGGTAAGGCACTGTGGAAAGAACAGTAGACTCTGGAACCTAGACCCAACTCTATAATCAAGTGACACAGCAAGCAAGTCAGTCGTTTAAGCTATAAGTTTCAGTGATCTCATCTTCATGTTGAGGAAGCTGAATTTTATCTCCTCTAAGATTGCATATTAATCTAAACTTCTATGGTTCTGTAAATCTCCTCTCTCCTCCTCTCACAAAAATTGCCATTACTACCTTTCAGACAATAGCCATGGTAAACAGGTGGTGGAAAGGTGTCACTAATCCTCCAGAATTTATAAGTGGATGCTTACAACTCTAGGGTGTAGGACTTGGGGAACAGATTAGACTGGAGAGCAAAGTAAAGCCTTTCAATAAGCAAATGCATTAAACAGATACTAACCATGGAAGAAAGACTAATCAGGTGCATGCTATTATTTAAAGTTTGCAATTTACCAAGGTAGCAGATTACTCACCATCTGGCTTAAATGGAATTTTATTCTTATAAAAACGAAGATTGCTCAAATCATTTTGATATCGGATATCTTTGAAGTTCTGCTAAAGGAAAAAAATAAATGAATCTCCAGCATATGGAAATAAAGAAAAGGCACAAGGAGCCTTCTTGCATGTTTTCTCATTGGCATCATAAAATTAAAAAAAAAAAAAAAAAAACAGAAGGGAAATATTTTATGTTTTAGAAAAAAATATTTCATACTCTTACTGGGTACTGGTGTCGGTATTTGTACAAATCCCTCGCAGCATAAAAACTTCTCTTTGGTTTGGCAGTTGCTTCAGTGGAATCACTACTCTAAAATAAAAAGTGAAAATCCATTTATGTTAAAGCAAAATAATTTCACCAAGAAATTTCCAAGTTTAAAATAATGAAGATCTCTAAAGAAAGCTTCCAAATTGTCAACCTGTCCAGATTAATAAAAATATTATAAATATTCTTTCAATAATGCTTAGTAGCAACATTTGTTGGCATCCTATTTTCCTTATTTCAATCAATAACATTTGTCCTAAGGTATATTACTAAATAAAAAAACTTTATTATTAAACAAAAGCCGAGAGAGGCCAAATGTTATGGATCAATATCAGAAATAGAACTAAAAAATGAATTCAAGATATATATTTACTAGATGTTACAGAAGTGTTTCTATGACAAAACTTATTTTAGAATAGTTACCTAATACAAAAACAATTCTATAAAGAAAATTGTCATTTTATTTGTAACATTTAGCTGTACTTGGAAGTCAAGTAATGTTTATGAAAAGAGAAGGATTTTGGAACAAACTAAATTATTTTCTAAACGCCATCCTTTCTAGCACCATAAAAAGTACACAAAGGCAAGAATAATCATCTGTTCATCAATGGTATTACAATGTGATATAAACCAGCTAATTTAAAACGTATATACGAAAAGCAGTAAGAAGCTCTCAAATGGAATAAATGTCAGATTGAAATAACTTAGATATGGTAGTTTACTCATACTATGTAAATTCTAAGCAAAATTCCCATCACCAAGTCACTTTTAAAGTATAAGATACAGGTCAATATAGTCGATTTGCATTCTCTATATGTGCAATTATAACATATGAGAAAGTGCTTTGTGTCCAATGTCATGCAGAAGGACAATGAGACCGATGACGATGAGGAAAAAGAAGACAAAGTTTAGACCAGAACAGTCATTAAGAGCTTCACCCTCAAACCTTTTCTCGTGTCCCCCCCCATTTGTGTTGACAGACCTCTAAGTAATTTTCACACATTTTTGAAGTGGTGTGACTCTCACTATTACTACAAGCACAGAGATACTTTAACACTAAACCCTTTGATGTTTAACATTAGTTACTCTGTCATGTTACATAAGCAAGAATAAGCTTGAATTCTGGTCCTTGCCACACGTTTCAAAATAGCTCTGCCTAGCAAGTTTCTGAATCTATTTAGCTTGAGCTACAACCATATGAATCATCATCCTACATTTGTATAGAAAGCACTTTTCCATTTACAAAGCACTTTCATGTATATTATTTCATTTGATTCTTACAACACACCTGGCGGACAGTTATTAGTGTTTCCATCTTAAAAACAAGGTAACTGAGGCTTAGAGAAGCTGAGCAACACCAGCCCCAGTGACAGTGCAAGAACTACAATTCTAGGCTCCAAGATCCAAGTCCAACCAATTAGGTCTGAATCAATTTCTGCTCCACTAACGTGAAGGATATAGGAAGATCTTGGTATAATGTCAATAGCCCAAGACTTAAGAGTCAGGAGACTCAGTTGGATCTTAACTCTTCTACTTAGTATTTGTGAGGACTTGAGGAAATCACTTAAATGAACCGTGGTTTTATCAGCTGTGAAATGAAGAGAATGACTCATGCTCTACCTATTTCCCAGGATTATCATAAGAATGACTGTGGGCCAAACTCTAAATGTGCCCACCTGCCAGGATCTGTTCCTGCTCCTCCAACCTCTATTCCTCTTGGACTCTATTCAGACTCCTTTCACCTGCTCAGGCAAAGATTTTGTTCCTTAAATATTGTTCCTCTTTCCTAGATCATCAAAATTTCCCTCTCTTCTCGATCATTCCCCTCAGCAAAAAAAAAAAAAAAAAACATGTTGTACCGTCTCTAATCTTAACATAAACATACGAAACTTTCCTTGACCCAAGTCCTCCCTCAATTACAGATCTAAATCTCTGCTCTCTTTTATAGTAAATCATCACCCAAGAACTGCCCACACTCCTGTCTTCTTCTCTTCCCCATTGTTCCATGACCCACCCCGATCAGGCCTCTTCCTCAGCATTCCATCAAAATGGCTCTTGTGAACCTCACCAATTTTCCATCTTGCCAGAGCATCTCTCAGCGTTTATCTCAGGAGAACTCTCAACAGTACTGGGCCAGTTAAGGCATGCCTATTTTCTAAAACACTGTTAATAGTTGGTTTGGGGGATGCCAGTCTCTCCTGGTTTGCTTCCTGTTTCACTGAACCCCCTTGTCAACCTCCTTTTTAGCTCCTTTTTTCTTCTTCTCACGGTCTAAATGGAAGAGAGTCCAGGGCTTAGTCCTCATTCCTTGTCACTCCTTGATGACCTCATATCTTCCCATGACTTTAAATACCACAGATCTTAGACACTGATGATGCCAATCCTGGACTGAGCCTCCATTCATAGATATAATTTAACCACCCAGCTACTCCACTTGGGTATCTAAGAGGATATTAAACTCAAGAGAATCCTTGATTTAACCTCTAAAGCTGTATTCTCCCTAAACTTCCCCATCTTAGTTAATAGCACCATCATTTTGCCCAATATTTCCTGGGACTAGGATGATGCAATGCAAGTGGTGTAAAGTAGTCAGTCTGGGATACAATTTAAAGGTAACTCTAGTAGTGGCTGCAAGTGGATTGACTCTGGGGAGTACAGAATAAATGGGGTTGACAGTCAAAAAGCAAAATCAAAAAGTAGCTTTATTTTTAGAAAGTTAGATGGTGATACTAGCAAGAAAAATGAATAATCATTAAAAGGGAATAGGGAGGGTTGGTGTGGGCCTATTGTTTACTGAGATTACAATTCACTGACTGAAGCATTATTAAATTGTTTTATATGGATGGGCCTGGTTAGTTGGATTGAATCTTAGCTAGTTTTTTGATATCCCAAATGTCTATATAAATTTAATTGGGAGCAAGTGGAAGTGAGAAACGCGGGAATACAGTATCCAATACTTTCCTAGGCTTAAATTAGCAATACAAAATGACAGAGCGGCAAAGGTGCAGGAAGATACTCAGAATTCCAACAGGTCCAAGGTTCTGATGTTGGTGGCAAACATACTTGGGTTGGCATCGCTCTCTCCCTGAATGATCCTGGGCAAATTTCACTTTCTCTTTAAGCCCCAGTTTCCTTTAAAATGGAGGTTATAAACAACAAACCTCCACCTCCGAATTGTGCTTAGCATGGAGCCTGCACTAAGACTTTATGATTCCTCCTTACCTAAACAGAGCTTATCACCAAGATGGATGAGGAAGCATTAGCTGTAACATTTAGGTGATGATTCCTCTAATACCCTGCAGTCACATCTGACTCTGGGCTCCATTTTCCCACTCTTGATCCCCCATGGCTGGTGAAGAGGAGAGCCCCGTGCAGAACCACAAACCTTAAACACCTCCACGGTACACTCTTCCTCGTTTTTAAAGTTTCTGATTATTTTCAGTCCATCAGAGGTTAAGGGGGTTATCTATCTCTTTTCTAAGCTCTGTTCCCAAACTGTGTTAGTCAAACGATGTAAAGCGCAGTTAGATCAACAAGTCCTTTGGGTGAAATAAGACTCCGAAGAGTGCCCCAACTCCTCCGTGGAAGGGCCTGACTTGGGGTAAGAACTGTGACGTTTGAACTTGCCATGGGGACCTTCTACAATACTTTTAATGACTGTAGAACCCTCTGTAGGGGAGCGTGCTGGCTGCTCGCAATTGTAGCCCCATCTCATCCTGAGTAATTTTTTTTTTTTTTTTTTTTTTACCAAAAACATGCACTAGAAGGGTTTTCACAATTCTCTATTTTTAGACTGGTTCCTCCCACCCCCACCTTCGCATCGCCGAGCCGCGCTGCAGAGGCAATGAAAACACCCATTCAAGTTGGGTTCTGCCTTGGGGGACTTCACCGGGGACTTCCCTACCGTGCCCACAGCCAGGCCCCAGGCCGGCAGCGGGCGGCCCGGCGCTCCGAGCCACCGCAGGCCCCCAGGTCCCCGGGCAGCGGGACGGTCTGGGGCGCTGAGGCTCGGGTCTCGGGGGCGAGCAGCCGCCGGGCTTCCCTGCTCTCCGTGCGCCGGGTGGCTCGGCACTTGCTCGTCTCCCCGTGCCGGGGGCAGGGGCGCCCCAGCCCGACCCGAGGCTACCGCTGGGCCGCGTACCTGCTCGGCGCCCGCCGCCTCGGCGTCCTCGTCCGGCGCGGAGCCGGCGCCGGGCCGCCCCCCAGCTCGCTCCGGGGGCTGCGCGGGCTGCTCGGCGGGCTCCTGCCCCGGGCCCTCTCCGCCGCCACCCGGCCCCGGCTCCTCGGGCGCGGGCGCGGGCTCGGGCTCGGGCTCGGGCTCGGGCTCCGAGTCGGTCTGCCAGGTGGAGTCGCAGTCCTCCACGGTGGTGGGCTCGCGGAAGCTGACCCCGCCGAGCAGGTTGCCCATTGAAGAGGCGGTGGCGGGCGCGCGCTGCGGCTGCGGGGCGCGGGCTGCGGCAGGCGCGCTAGGGCCCGGGCATGGCCGCGGCGAGGGCGCAGGGCGGCAGCCTGGGCGCGCCCGCCGCCGCACTGCCTCAGCGCGGCCAGCGGCAGACGGGCACACTCGCGGGGAGGAGCCGGCGGCCCCGGGACCGCCGCCGCTCACGCTCGAACCCGCCCATCTGGTTCCTTCTCCCCACGGGCGGGAGCCGGCGCAAGCCCAGAGCCCGGGGGAGCGAGCTGCCGCCCCGGGCCTGGGCGCCGCCGCCTCGGCCCCCGGGGACGCCCCTCACTTCCACTCCTCCCCCTGCAAGGCCAGCCTCTGGCGGCCCCTGGAGTGGACCCGGTTCTGCTGCTACCCGGGCGTGGGGACACCCGCGCGGGGCTGCTCCCAGTTGAGCGGGAAGAGTGATCCCGCCTAGCGCTGGGAGCTGGGGACTGGCGTGGACATGATATCCAAGGAGGTGTCACTGTTAGCAGGCGGGTCCAGGAGGGAGACACTTTAACTGCAACAGAAGACAAAAGCTAATGGTGACAGGGCACCATCTAAACAGGAAATCTAAGCTGCCGGGACTGTACTTAGTAGGGCAGCCACCTACATCCCTTGCGGTCTAGCCAAAGTCAAAGCTATCATCAAATGAGCAAACGTTTCTTGAAACAAAAGCAACGATAGCCACTAGACTATCACATTGATTTGTGGAGAGTGTTACTAACATCCACTCCAAATCAGTGCTCTGAGTAGGAAAAAAAAAAAATCTCAAAATCTTTATAACACGTGAATAGTTTCCAAGAGAAGAATCCTTAGCCCTTTGGTATCTTCTGTGAATGAAAGGAGGGGGAACCACGTTATAGAAGTACTTAATGATAAAATAGCATAATCAAGTGCACCAGAGAAAAGAGTCTATTGTAAAATGTGGATTCTAACTTTCTAACCAGAAGGAAAGCCTCTTGCAGGCAGTCCCCAGACTGTATGTGTGTCTGTGTTTGTTCAGAGCTGTATAGACTGGTGCCGGGGACAGTGCCACAAACTTGGTAGGCACTCAGTAAACATTTGTTGAATATGGACCAAGAAAATGGATTAGATATTTAAAACCAAACTGTTGTACTTGGAATGAACAGTTTCTTTTTAAATGCTTCATGATGAAATAGGAAGCCAAATCAGGGTACAGGGGCTGTTTCTAAGGGAAGAATCAGGTGAACAGGTTACCTATTCTACAGATAAATCAGGATTGCCTATCTTCAAGCATTGCAACAGGAGATCCAGGATGTAAATGATGTGCCAATTTGTTCAATATTTTTCTAAAGAGCATAATTTTACGTGAAGTATTACAACCACCTTATATAATATAAAACAATTTTTTAAGTTGAGCTTAGAGCAATAAACTTGCCCACATTGTGTCCAATCTGTGTATTTAAGAAAGTTAATTCTGGAGGTCTGTTATTCCCAGGTTCTATTCACAGGAATTACCCTTCCTGATACTTAAACATTTTCATTATCCCTACCTTTGAGAGTATTTAACATTCCTGCGTGGACATTAAAGACTCATGTTTTTGCTTCATATAAAAAAAAAATCATCACTTAGCACAGTGCCAGGCACAATAATTTATCAATATATGTTATCTCTAATTGTTATTCATCCAATATGTCGTTAAAGAAGATTGAATTCAGCTGGGTGCAGTGGCTCATGCCTGTAGTCCTAGCTACTCTGGAGGCTGAGGGGGGAGAATCACTTGAACCCAGGAGTTGGAGACTGCACTGAGCTATGATCATGTCACTGCACTCCAGCCTGGGAAACAGAGTGAAATCCTGTCTCAAAAAAAAAAAAAATTATTAAATAATAATATAAGTATGTATGGAACAAGGAGAAACTAGTATGGCAATGGACTATAATAAATAGAGTTTCTGACTCCCTGTATCCTACCCTAAACTATGCAGATACTGTAGCCACGCTCTAATGTAACTCTGTTTTCAAGTTTGTTTTGAAATCCTTTAAGGGAGAGGCCATCTTAAGGAGCTTAAGGAGGAACTGGTGCTTTAGGAACTAAACTTTTTTGGATGGAACCCAAATACATCTGGCATATCTTGAACTGTTTTTGTTTTTTTTTTTTTTTTTTATAGTCAGTTGTGGTTTAGGGACATTAACAAAGGTTTATTGTTACATAATTTCCTTTGAGAGTCTTTCAAATAAAATGAAAGGGCAGATCAAGGGTCATTTCTCCAACCTCAGGAGTTAACTCCTCACTAGCTCCCAGGAACCTATAACCTATGGAGAAAAAAAAATAGTCTTAAAAAAATAATAAAGACAAAACCCTAAAGAAACATCTTAAATTAGAAATAGCATGCTATAATATACCCTTCCACCGACTATAGCCAGGGCCTCTGCTAGCATGCATGGGACCTTTGTACCCTTGAGAATAAGATGCCCGTTTCTCCAGGGCTTGGTGACCTGGGCCTGGACTAAACATCTTCATGCAAGACACAGCATGTGCAACCTCACATGGAGTCTCTGACCAGACCAGGCTTGCCAGAAATTTCCTAGGATCTCCCTTTCCTAAGGTAGGAGTTTATAAATGTGTTATAATTTATGAAGACAAAATGTTTTGTTTTTCTGCTCCTTTCTTCCTGCAAATGTTCAATATTTTCTTCTTGTATGATTCTGATATGTTAACCTCCACCCCCCAAGTCTACCTCTCCTGTATCCCCCCTAACCACTACTACCACCACAGGCTCTCTTAGAAAAGTCTGTTTTCTCCCTCTTGGGACAATGCAATTATGCAACCCAAATTTTATCCTGCATGTTTCTTTTACCTTTACAAGGCTTAACTGCAAACATATCTCTGCCATCCATTACCTTCCCTAAAATTCTCTCTTACTGTTCCCAAAGAAGTGTCCAGCAATTGAAGCAATTTCCTTATATCAAAAACAAAATTTTCAAGGTTGCTTTAAATGAGATGCAAAAATAAATACACATGCATCTAATTTTAACTAAACTGAACTTGCAGTAGCAAAGGGATTTCTGTGTTTTTTATTACTGATATAAAATAGCAAATATTTTACTATCAAGTCTTAGTAACAAATGAATTACATTCCCCCATTAGCATCTACACTATTACTAATATTCTGATGAACCCCTGAGTCTTCCAGATATTTTACATCTACTTTATCAAAGTAGTAGTATATAATGAATGTGTACTTTTGGGTATTTTTATTTGTTTTGTTTTCATTTCTTTCATTTAATTTTTTTCACCCGCATCCACAATGGACAGTCACTGTGCATTAGATAGAATCCCTGCTTTAGGGGGTTTAGAGTATGTTAGGGAAGATAGAAATTCAGCAAATTCAAAAGTAATCATAATAAGTGCAAAGAAGGCAAAGTGAGATCTCAGGGCTCTGGCTTTACTCTGGGGAGTCAGGAAGGTTTCCCTGGAGAGGTTACATATAAATGAAGGAATAAAGGGTAGGAGAGAAGAAGTTAACCCAAAGCAGAGAGAAAAGCACTCCTGGCCAAGGGACTGGTGTAGACAAAGGCCCAAGGCAAGAAGAAGATTAGCCCCTACAGTGGCCAGAGAGGAGGCATGCAAGGTGGGCAGGAGACCAAGCAGGTTGGAAAAACTAATTTTGGGCTTTTAGATTTTTGTTCTTGCTTTTTCAAGAAACAATCTTTAGCTTCTTTTATCAAAAGCAACTCTGTTTACATTGTTTCCGGTAGGGATTTTTATTGCTTTAATTATTTCATAGTAAAGTGAAAGGGTAGAGAGTAAGTGACTGACCTGGCTGTATGTTAGGTGTCATCTGCAGCCTTTTTCAGGCCACTAGAGTATTGGCTAATACACCAAAGCGATAATGTGCTGCATTTCATGGAATCTAAGAAGCATTGATTCAAAGATGTGTCTTATTTCAAAGATATCTAAATATGAAAAATTGTTTATTCTACAGTCCATGTAACGTAGTTTGCTAAGAGGGAATGTTTAGCATTTTTAAAGAACTGATTTATTGCTAAGAAATAGTTTACAATTCTAAGGCCAACTCTAGATTCCTATCCAATACTGAGTATTTCACAGCTTAACGTCTTTGTACCAATCTCACTTACAGTTGTTAATAAAGCCAAAGTAAAAGTTCATAGAATTTATGAGTGTTGAATTAGTATATAATAAGACATCAGGGAAGGTAAGTTGAAATTAAGGCAAGAACTTGGTAACAAACCATTTGCATAAGTAAGTGAATAAATTCAGCCAGTAGATTAAAAATAGAGCCATATTTAAATTTTAAAAGTAATAAAACAGTCAAAAACAATGTTTGGAGTCCTTCTTTGGACAATTCAGAAGCATTTAGACTATATTTTGATTTTTTTTTAAAAAATATATATATAAACATTATAAGATACAGGAATATTTGGCTTCAAAAGAGGAAAGTAAGAGAAATTTTGCCTATTATCTCCAAAGTTATTGCTTATTTTCCATGAATAAAAATAGATACTTTTTCCAATTATTCCATTAAATATTTGTTTCTATATCATATACCTTTTCTTTTTGTTCCTTTAAATTGATCTGACTATTTAAAAGCATTACAGTAACTGAATAAGAAATGGATATGTAAGCACATTCTGGACATTTCCCTGGCTCAGAAATGTACTTGGAAATCGGTAGCCAAGGAATATGTGATTCTCATGGGTTTACTCCAGGATTCCTCAGAGTTTCTGCCCTTCTCTTTGTGAAAAGCCCTCAGAGGCAGGTTGTAGGGATGGGTTTCCTCCAGGGTCCTCTGAGTGCAGATACCCCTATGGGGACCTACCAGAACCTGCAGTTTTGCTGTCACTGAGCCTTGGGACACGCCACAGGGGATACAGGGAGACCTAAGGGCACGCATTTTGTACTCCATCTTAGGATGTAATTGCAGCCTTATGTGCCAGAGGAACCAAATCATGCTCCTGCCCAAAGAAGAGTTCAGGCTGCTTAAGCCTAAACCAACCCCAGACTCTGGTGCCCTTCTGTGACATGTGTGTGCTCTTCAGGGGTTGGAGGGCTAAAGAGTAATTC